CTCTTGGTTGAATGTACTCACAGAGGTATGAGGGGAGCAGATGCAGAATAGCCTTATAAATCATCATATACCAGTGAGTGAGTCTACGAGTCTCTAATGCTGGCTAGCCCACACATATGTAAAGTTCACAGTGGGGAATGATTTGTGTAAGATTATATTAAATCATATACATAGGCTGTGTTTGATTTGTTCATGATGGGGATCACAGCTAAGTAGAATTAAAAAAATAAATGGGATTGTTATACCAAAGTACAGTAAAGGATCCAATTCTGTGTGTCTTGACCTGATTTGGACCTAACAAAGAAAGCGTCAACATGCATTTTCTCTCATTTTTGAGAACAGAACCATATATGAACTAAAACGAAATGCCAAAAAATTACTTTAACTATTCTTTTTTTATATATATTTGTCAATGAACGTTTTATTTCATTTATAAAAATATAAAACAAACTTATTTAATTATGAAAATAGTTTTCACATATTCCATCTGTAAACAATATTTTTTGCTCTGTTAAGAGTTTCAATGTTTTTGCCGTGTAAGCAATCTGACTTTAATTATATACTAAACTTTATTGTCATTTTGTACACAAAGTGTATACAAAATGAAATTTCATTCGGTACAGCTCTCAAGACATTTCCATTTCTTAAAGTGCAGCAGTGATAAAATAAAACGTAAACATGGTGATCCAATGTAAACATAAGACTGAGCGATGATTTACAGTTGTTCCAACATTCAGTGCTTTTTTTCCCCGGTTTATTAACCATTCAGCATGGTAGTGGGAAAGAAGCCGTTTTGGAAATACAGATTTTACATCATGATATAAAAACTTTTTTCAATCTTTTATCTAGGAGTGTTTTCATTAAACGGTCTTATATAAAAGTCTTGCAATAAATGAACAATTTGTCACGTCCCATTTTTTCTCCTTTAGGCCCATATTGGACCAATGTTCTGTTCACCTGGACAAAGACGGACGGTCTAAAAGTTTACATCAATGGGACTTTCTTGAACGCCGACCCATCCGGCAGTGCCTCAGAGAACCCTGGTGACATCAGCTCTGATGTTATCCTCAAAACTGAATACAACAGGGCGCACCGTCGTTATGCAACTTGGGCTTTCGATGAATTTATCATCTGGAGTAGGGCCCTTACACCCCGCCAGATCCAACTCTATTACGCTGCAGCTGTAGGTAGGACAAGATGCTCTCTTGGAAAAGTATTTCCTGTCATGCTACTGCGGGTCACGTTTATTAAAATGTTTCCTCCCTTCTCACCCAGAGGAAACGGGGGTTAAAATGAAGCTTCCTTCCTTCACAATACCAATTCTCATCCATGACATTTAGACAAAACAACAATAACACAAACCTTGCACACACATACACACACCCACACTCCTCCGATCCTACACAAGTCAAGTCCGCAGCTAAAATACTTCTGCCTTTTAAGTATATATCCAAGTGTAGAGGCACGTTGAGTTGAAGAAGGCGGATCGTTTTAATTTAATGTGACAAGTAACAACATGCAAGGAGCAAACCTCCACACTCTTGAATGTTTCTGTTCTGTTTACCTCCTCTGGTCAGTGGACGACCATAAATGGAGATGAGAGAGATTTTAAAAATAACCTCTTTCTGTGGAGTGTGAATCTAAATTAAGAAAAAAAATCTACCCCTGTCTTAGAATTTCTCTTTGCAATATGATATGTACGGTAAGCTGATTCGTAACCATCTGTGTTTGAATCCTGCTGATTCCTAAGGGTGATTGGTTGCTGTATATGTAGAGTGTTACAGCTGGCTGCGATGTGTGAAGCATTTAAAATATGCCCAGAGCTATTCTTTTCTTCCCTGAAAATATTTCCAGAAGCCATATAATTCACAGGTCATTTCTGGACACCAAGAGCCTGACTGTTATTTCTAACAATATCTATTTTTAGTTCTCAAGGACTCTAGGATTATATTAAATCTTACTTTAAATCAAAGAAGCTCAGATTTATACCCCTAACACACATCCAAACATGGCTATTTTATGGTAGCTTGTAAGAGTTGATTTCACTGATTGACATAGAAACTATGTAAACGTTGTAGTGGCAACATATGTGTTTGATCTTTCGAGTCTAATAAAGATGGAAGTCTCTGGGTCTGGCAATTGTTCTTTCATGACTGGTGATTGCAATCAGAACGTAGGCTCCATGCTGATGAAATCCAGGTACTGAGCAACAGCCAGATCTGGTTAGGTTCCCAAAGCACCAAATAACAAAAAAGGAAAGAAAACGTATACTGAAAAAAAATACATGACGATCAGATAAACAGAAAAACAGTCAGGTGGTTGCTGTGAGCTTCAAAAGAGCTTTTTTCTTTCTTTTTTTAGGTCAGGATATGGTTTCTACCACAACTCAAGGAAACGCTGCGGATGTCCCCACAACTGCAACAACAGATGTAAGTGTCTCCAAAGTTTTCCTTTGCGTGATTTTGTTCCTTTTTCAGTTTATACCTACAGTAAACTAAAAGAATGTTACCTTTGATTTAAATAGAGGAAATTTCTTTGTTAGTGATCATTTATAGTTTCTCACAGTTAATAGCATTGCTGTTTTCCATACATTATAGAATTGTCTTTTCAGAATCAGAATCAGAATCAGAAATACTTTAATAATGCCAGAGGGAAATTACTTTTGTTACACGCTCCAGTTATTTTTATATATACACACATCCAACTACACAATATAATAAAGATAAAAAAATAAGAATAAAAAGAGATAAAATAAATACACATATGCCAACAGGACAGCTCATTTACCAGCATTTGACCCTCTTTTAACCATCTGTCTAAATCAGATTCCTCTGGCCCTTCCTGTTATCCCCAGGTTTTATACATCTTTTTAAAAAATGACAAAATGTAGATTTATTTAGTCAGGCTTCAGGTTTCTATATAATATTTCCTGGAAAATAATACTTTTAAATAAATCCCATGACAGACAAATGGTTATATTTACTGTTAAAATCCAACAATATTTCATTCAAAACATCCTGATATTTCAACAAAAATTACAAAACATCCTGATGTTTTGTAAAAACATTTTTTTAACTAAATATGAAAGGACCATGAATGTCCACAGGTTCACCACTTCCCAGTTGCTATGTAGATCTTTAGTGAGTGCAAAGATTTTGCTGCAGAGCACACTGGCAGAGCAATAGATGTTTTTTTTCCTCCTTTAACATTCTGCTCACTGCGCACTGCAAGATAAATGCAGGCCCAGCCTAGTGGCTAAAGGGCATCTGTGTTGAATTATACTTTAAACCCATGGAAACAGAACATTATTGGATAACTCATTAGCACAAAATGTCAGGAAATTGGTGTTTGGTTGATTATTTTGTTGTTGTAACAAAGCTTTTTCCGCATGAATCCTATTCTTTTAAAACAAGTTTATTTAGCTTTAAATGGTAGCACATTTGTATAGTTGGTTTATTTGTTGGGTGAGAAGCAGAGCTGTGAATGGGGATCACGCCAATGAAAAACTTTTAAAATCCTCTCTATCAAAGCCATACAGCTTATTCTACTGTTGGATTGTTTGGTGCTGTTTAAAAAACAGGCAATATAAGAGTGTATTTATTTAACAAGCAGTGGCAGAACAGTAGCCTGGCGCCTCTTCCCACCATTTGGTCACACACTGCTGTGGGATGGCGTCCCGTCATCTACTAGCCTTTCTAGCATGTCAGCCAATATGCATGTGTTGGTCGCTCTAGCTGAAACTGCATATTCGACCTAATTAGTGTTCAGTGGGGCAGAGGTCAGGACTGTAGGTCAGACGATTCACTCCTCACTCTTTTCATATCTCTGATAAACCCTGCTATCTGGGTGCCAGTGTTGAATCAAAAATTAGTTTAATGCATAGGAGTCGAAATATTAGATTTCAACAGGTTCCAGTCTCTCTTAAATTTCTCCCTGCCAAGTAACTTTGGCTTGCAATGTCTTTATATTTTATTTTATTATCTATATTGGTTTCATTGTATTTAGATAATTGTTGTGACCAATTGAGAAAAAACAGAATAACTTTTTTGACTAAATGTAATTAAAAAACAATTTATCAAATTTTTAAAACTGTGCTCTTTCCAGTTTGTAGATTCTGGTTATAATCCCGGTTTAGTCCAATGACACTCGAAACGAGCAAAAAAGTGAATCCTGATCATTCTAAGATTATTGAAAATGACCCAACACTGTTTCATTATGTCCATTTTTGTAACTAGGAATCAACCTGTGCAAGTTTTTTTTAGGAAGATTCAGATTATTTTGACATCAATCTAACCAATCCCCAATATCATGTGCTTATTTTTTTTGGACCTGCTTGTTAAGGCCAATATTGCTCGTCTTTCCCCATTTACATAAAAAAAAAAAAAGATAAATGTTACACAAGTCTCATTTTAAACAAAAAAAAAAAAATCAAATCCAGCCAAACATTAAGATTAAAGTAACAAATAGAGAAGTAATGCATGCTCTTCAGATGATGTTAAGGCATGGCTCCCGAATGTGCTAAGAAATTGAACGCTTTCACGTTTTGGTCAGTGCAGATCATAAGATGTTCTTGATGTCTCTCTGGTTCCTAGTTATAACCGAACCACATTAACTTCTACTGTAACTAGTGGTGGACTTCCGCGGAAGCAGATCCACCCCACTGACACCGGTGAACATCCAGGGAACGGACATGGAGATAGTGGACTATTAAAAGTACCTAGGTCTTCATCTGAATAACAAACTGGATTCAACACTGAGACTCTGTGTGAGAAAGGTCAGAGCAGACTCTTCCTGATGAGGAGACGGAGGTCTTTTGGAGTGCAGGGGGCGCTCCTAGACACTTTCTATGACTCCATTGTGGCATCAGCCATCTTCTATGGAGCTGTCACTTGGAGCAGTGGCTAATCTGTAGCCGAGAGAAAGCAGCTGGATAAGCTGATCAAGAAGGCCAGCTCTGTGATTGGATTCCCTCAGGGCTCAGTGCAGGAGGTGGGAAACAAAACAATCCTAACTAAATTAACATCTCTGTTGGATATTGTTTCCCACTTCATGCATGAAGCTGTTGCAGAACTGAAGAGCTCCTTCAGTGACAGACTGCTGCACCTTAAATGCACCAGGGGGCGTTATCATAGATCCTTCCAGCCACTGTAAGACTCTACAACCTTCAATAAGTTGTTGCATTCATGCAGATTCTGCAGAGTTTCTACCTTAGTCAGTTAAATAACACGGTGCTGTAATTTTGCACATTTCTGATGTTGCTGCTATTTTCAAATTGTCATAAACGGGAAAGATGGACCCAGTATTCAAGGCAAGACAGTCAGTAGGAAAGTTAAAAACATCAAAACAAAAACAGACAGAACAGAAACGAAGCAAGCTACTGTGGATCTGCGACTCGTGGCGGCTGCAGGAGGGGGGCGGGGCACCGCCCAATCACTGACACACTCTGTTGGAAAGAAACACAGGTACGTGACGATGATCATCTGACAGAAGATGATAACCTCAGTGAGTCACTTACCTGGTTTCACAATTCAGTCCATCTCCCTAGAAGGGGGTACGATCCAGCCGATGGGCTGACAACCAGAAGCGATGTGCGTCACCCAGAGTATCCCTGATGCTGCAGCTCCAGATAAGTTGCAGGAAGCCGATCCAGGTCAGAGGAAGACAGAGCAGGCAGGAACAGTTCAGGAATCCAGGAAACCTCCGCTCTATCTGAGGTTTCCACCCAAACAGCAACAGCAGGATCAGACTTCCAGGAATCCACAGAGCTTTCAGGCAGGTTCAGAGTCCCGTGCATCGAGCATTCAGCTCATACAGAAACACACCTGGAAGGCAAAATCCAGAAGGAGTCTAACAGAGGTTCAGGCGAGCAGACCAGACACAGCCAGTGGGTGAGAGGGAACGGAATCAGGAAATCAGAATCACTCGAGAAACGCTGAAACACTCTTACCACTGGTTAGGGATTAAACTAGCCTGAAGACATGGGCTCAAAGATAAACTCCTGACTTGAACATGAACCTTGGAAATTAACCTAAAACTGACAGAAAGGACACTAACAGAAATCAAACAGGGAACAAAATGAAAGCAAACAATGATCTGGCATCAATAGCTGGGCTGAACTGAATACAAGGCAGAAACTACAGATGGATGAGATCAGATATGATTAAGAACTGAGCAGAACCAGGCAGGTGAGTGAAATGAGCAATTAAGGCCAGCTATCAGAGCAGATCATGACACAAATATCCATTACTGTAAAAATGTTCTTAGCTGTATATTGGTTATTTATTCTCCAGATGCAAAGTTTTATTTTGTTAAAAACACTTTACAGTATTTTATTGTTTATCTTTTAACTCTTTACTAGTATATTATTCTTATACACTTTTCTAAGGTCCACATTTGTGTGACCATTTCTTTCTATACTTTTTCTGCTGCTGTAAACACCAATAAAGGGGTTTTCTATTGTATTGTATTCTATTCTATTATAGAAGATCCCTTTTAATCTTTGGTTTTCGAACTGGGCACCAAAATGTTCTCAAGGCGGGTGCTAACTGACGCATAGTTTAATTGAAACATATTGTAGTCGTTTTGTTCTTTTTGATCCACTTTGACATGTCCAAACCTGCAGAAGTACAAAATGCTGATTGAGCAGAACTATCCTTGGCTCCAAAGCACATTCTGAAATCATGATTATGCTTAACATTCAACATTTGTCGAAGGGAAATGTTGTACTTCCCATACGGTAAAGGTATGGGAAAATTATTCCAAGTGTTTTGACCACAATAAACACCAAATCATCACAGAAGAGTGAGAATAGGTATTTTGCTGCAATATGCACAAACAGTGTATTACTCATCCAGGCATTGTTTTCTTTTTGTCAACAGTTGAGAAGAAAGATATTGAGAACAGATGTGAAGAGAGGCATTTATCAAAGCTATGGGAGAGGAAAAAAATATTCAGAAACAAGAAGACAGTAGAAAAAGTTGCTCTACGTTGCATGAAAATAGATTCTTCTAACCCACAGAATGAGCAAAACCAAATTATATTTCCATAGGGTTCTCCTTGAATTCAGTCCCTAAACCTCTACTGTATGATGTAGCTCTATGTTCATTCATAAACTTCCTCCACATCCATTTTCTTGCTCTGTCTCTGCAGAGAGCATTTGAAGTGAGTCCTCCTGTCAGCAGCAGTCATCAGGAGTTGGTCCAAAGCTCCCAGGGTCCTAGCACTTTGCCTGTGCTGGACTTCCTCAGCACACTGCCCAACAGGACAATTCCTCACAACGCTGCCAACAACCTCACACAGGTCTTGGAGCGCGTTGCAAAACAAATATAATTACACTTTCAAACTGAGATCACACCCAGACACAATGACCACCCATGTGCAGATGATGCAGCAGTTCCATGATGTCCTTTTTCTTCCATCCAGGCTTTTCTCAACAGTGTGGAAGAAGTCCTGTCCTCTCCAGGTCTACCAGAGGTAAATGACGCCACTCTGTTGTTGTTTAATGTCCAAACATGACAAAATAAAGCAGAACCAATGTGATGGTTACTTAGAGCCAAAACAATGAAGCGGTCATTGACTCTGACTTTTAAAACTGTATATATTTGGCAAGAGAGGCGCTTTAAATGGTGACAGTAAAAGTCAGGACTTTAGTGTAGCTTAAAATCAAATCCAAATGTTTAGTAAGTCAGTCTACAGGACTGGCATACTTAAAGGTACATTGTCACATTACATTCCTATGCCAAAAAGAACCAAGGTCCACTTGGTTAAAATAAAATATGCCTATGTACTGCAAGTCTCTGCTTTGATACTGTTTTGATCTTCCTTTTTGAGCCTAAATAGAACCTCAGCACCAGGTGCAATGAGCTGACATGGTGCCATCTACTTGAAGTACTGCTGAAGTACTAGAAAGCCAGATGGCAGCCATTGATGCAGCTAGTAAATAAGTCTCAACCATGTTGTGATGTCTTACTGAAACCCAACAGCTTTGAGGATAAAGCTTAAAAGCATCGTTAACACCAGTAGCAATATTAGCATGTACTTCCGTCTACCTTGCAGCAATAAAACAATGCTTCCTGAACTTTCATGTACTCCAGTTATATCCTTCAAATTAAACCTCTTCTTTACTGAAAAAAAAATTCATGCACCTTTTGCATCTGCTTAAGCATATTTAGTTGATTTAACACAATTGTCTATGTTTGCAGGGAAGGACATGAAACTTTTGTGTTTAAGTAACTAAATATGCTTAAGTAGATGCAAAAGATGCATGAATGACCTTTCCTTTTTTTACAACTAAGATGGGAGTTTCGTGCTCGCTCACCTCTCTTGCTTCGGCTTGTTGACCAATTGTGTGTGTGCACAGTGACGTAATCCTAGTCACAAGATGTTGTCATGGTAAAAATACACAGAAAGGCAAAATTTACCATTAAATTAAGCAAAAACATAGAATGAAAGGCAAAAAATGTAAATATTCCACTAGCAGGGCGCTGTAATTTGTCTTAAAATTATTGTACAGTATGCAACCAGAGTGAGTCACTGGAATATAGCTTAAAAAAATGTCAAATAACCTAACTACATACCTTTAAAGTTGTCTATATGATATGAAACCTGGTTCCGCTTCTGTAGCAGACATAAAACACAAAGTTGAGAATAAATACAATGTGAAAGGGAAATATTTATGGTAATTTAAATACGTTATAAATGAAAATCTAACAAGGGTAGATCTGCTGTTTAGTCAACAACTTTAACTATGAAACAGAAAAAACCAATGCAACCAATCAGCTGTAGAAGTCCTTCAATTAGCAAATGGAGTATTTGTGTATGTAATTAAATCTCTTTAATAGCCTTTAGTTTAATGAATGATCAGTACATGTCGCAGAATTTGTTAGGCTACCCACCATAGGAGCAGGGAAACATAGAAATACGTTAATTGCCGAACAATGGGGTAATTGTGGCAGTAAAACATGGTGGTAAGAGTTTGGGAAAGAAGGGCAGAGTCACAGGGTAAGTGTTGGCCTAGTGTGTTAGAGCAGTGTGCTTTTCCTCTTAGAAGGTTGCAAGTACCTTCTAAGAGGAAAAGCACACTTTAAATCACATTGCCTTTGCTCTGGGTTGATAAGAAAAACCCTTTATCCCACACTGCTCCCCGGGCACCGCACAATGGCAGCCCACTGCTCCCCAAAGGGATTGGTTAAATGCAGATAGTTAATTTCTCCAATGTGAGATCAATAAAGGACATTTTTACAATCGTGTATCAGTTCCCCTCAACTTTATAAGTACTGTACGTAATATTTGGGGTGGATTACACGGAAGAGAATTAGGGCCAGTGGAAAAAAAAAAAAAGTTAACTAATTTTTAAATTTTATTTCAGTTTAGTATGGGAATTCTGACTTTAATCTCAGAATTCTGACTATAATCTCAGAATTCTGACTATAATCTCAGAATTCTGATTTTTTTTTTCTGAGTATTCTGACTTTTTTCTCAGAATTCTGACTTTAATCTCAGAATTCTGACTGAATTCTGACAATAAAAAAAGTCAGAATTCTGACATCCCATGTTAAACTGAAATAAAATTTAAAAATCAGTTAACTTTTTTTTTCCAGTGGCCCTAATCCTCTTCCGTAGGATTAGCATTTAAAATCCCCGTAAAATACAAAACTGCATCAATACTTTTGTAGGTTGCTGCCTTTGTGACACTAAAAAACAAAAAAAAATATTTTCCTGTAAAGCTGATTTGACTAAACTGGACTACAACATGTTTTAAACAGGCTTTTTATTTATGTATCTCTGTGGAAAATATAAATAATTCTTACAAACTAAAGCCAGGTGGTAAAAATGTGCAGCTTTGACCTCTTTTCTTGTATTTGTTGATCATCAGCAGTCCGGCCCGGTGGTCAGCAGTTTGATTGATACTGTGGATGTAGTGATGGGACACATGGTGACAAACCTGGAGTCCAGCTCTAGCTCTCCCTTTTCCATGGAGGGAACCTCTTTGGTTGCAGGTCTGAAAGATGTCAGCTCTCCATGTGTTACATGGACCGCTTTTTTGTTTTTGTTTTTATAAAACACACTGGCTTTTATTGTTTGCCTATAAGTTTATTTTTCAATTCTTTTCCCTTTCCAAAATCTGATCCCATTTAGATTACTCCCTGATGAAACTGTCCCAGAACTTCCATCTGCCACATTACCGCTTTCCCACACAGGGGAAAAATTACATCTCGGTACCCGGAGAGGCATTTACAATGCAGAGTAAGTGTAAAAGTTACAACATGTTCATGTTTAATGTCATGTTTTAGTTTTAGTTTTTTTTATGATGAACAGGGTGTCTTTTCCCATTTTATTTTTACCACTAAACATTAAATATAAGAGTTGTAAGAGTGCTAACAGCATGCAGTCTTAGATGCCCTTCATAGTGCCCTGTAGAAACCCACCTATGATTTTAATGTAGGTAGTTACCCTTTCATTTAAAACAGAAGGAATAAAAGACGTTGCTCTTTTTTTCCACCTCGGTTCGTCATTAAAAAAAATGAGTCCCTGCAGTGGACTGAGGGAGAGGAGTAATTAGAGCGGGCATTAAAACGTTGTTTGTTCGACTTTGCGTTCAGGTCAGATTCCCCTGGCTCCATCTGGCTCCTCCATGCAGCGTTCTGGCATACGAACACAAAAATAAACTGTTTAAATAATTCATTTACAAACTCGTATCGAAATGGAATCGATGTTATAGCATGACACACGAGAGCCAGGGCCAAATTAGGTCATAGGCCTGAGTACCTGGCAGTGTAAAACGCTCAAAGTGTGGCCTTTGTGTCCTAATAGAGCACAGAGATTGTGAAGCACTGAAGTGTTTAGAAGGTGTTTGTTTTTTTTTCATTCTTTTCTTTTGGAGAGCTGAACAAGCAAACCAAGACTTGCTCTGAGACCTCTTCCTGGAATAATATTTCTATGAACTTTTTAATGCACATTTGCTCGACATATGCAGGCCCTTGTTGTCCTTCTCAGCGGGTTTCAGCTGGAAGACCTTTAACCAGAAGAGCATGGTGATTAGGAACTTCCTCCAATTTCTTTCTTTTTTTTTTTTTTGTCCCGCTTTATTGAGGTGGAACCGGGCTGAGGGAAAGGTCAGCAAAGGGGAGGGGGACCGGACCTCCCGGTCTGCCACTGAAGTCGTGTGAACGTTTCATAAGCGTTCCTTGTAACCCTTTCACCTCTGTGAGACTATGTCCTGTTAGCTGGATGGTGCCAGAGTGCAGTTGCAATGCAGCGTTAATTAACTTCCCTTCTTTGTGAGCTTTTTAGCAGCCTTGTTGAACATTCCCCTCTACAGCTCACACTCTGCTTCTTTTCTCCAGCTCAAACCACCATTGTTGGCCTCTTCTACCACAACATGCATAAGTACTACAAAGAAATCAGCCCAGTCAAGACTAGGTAAGAGGAGGGGGGGGAGCTTTTGTGTTTCGACTTATGGGTATTGTTTACAAGTTCAAGCTATTTAAAAGAAAACCAAACCAAGCCCCTTTCTTTGTGCTAACTGTGTGGGAAATCATGTCCAACGGGTTTAAGCTTCCTGAACCTCATAGCAGCTGAAGCCTGGAGCCAAGGGCTTATCTGAGCTTTTTGTCTATCTCTCATCTCACCACTCAGCTTCCAGTGACTGATACACCCTGCTATTAACGTGCCGTATCTATTCCCCTACTGCCACCACCCTCTCAGTTATTGTCACATCACTGGATCGTCTTGAGACTTCTACTTTGCCGTGTTTATGTTTATCAAGTGTGGTATGACCTCAGTCAGGCTACATCAAACTAAACCAAAATCAAAGTGATGGTGTCTTGCTATTCATAGTGCTTGGAATGTTTATGGTTGTTTTCTTGTTTCACCAAAAAAAAACAATATAACAGTTTACCGCTTTTTAACTGTAAAGTGGAAGAAGAAAAAAAAATGGACTGAAGAATTGGCAAATACAAAAATGTGCTTATCCCGATACAAAAAAAAATGCAAAAATCAGCTCCTCGATGTTTGTATGCCGATCTCTAGTTATAACCCAACTGCATTACCTTGCATTATACTTTAACCACACACACACACACACATATATATATATATATATATATATATATATATATATATATATATATACACATATATATACACATATTTTTTTTTTTGGTCAGGTACAAATCAACACATAGAGGACATGAAATATATTGTAGCATGTTAATCTTTATGAACCAGAACAAGTTGGTTTTTACATGAACAAATCTTCCAAAGTACAAAATGTTGATCTTGAAAAAGGATTCTCAGCTCTCCAAGATTAATTCTGAAATTGCAATAAAGCTTAGTATTACAAATGTCTGGATATGAAAACGAAAAGGTATGAGAAAAAAAAATTACTTGACATGCTTTGACCATGATGAACACCACATTCGTCATAGAATGGAAAACAGCATCTGTGCTTCAATATAAACAAGCAGTTTATTAAATGTATGCATGCATCTATCTACAAATGCAGATACAAAGAAAAAACACATATATTGACCAAAAATATTGGCCAGCCAGTATGTCGGTACCAATATCGCTCTTCTGTTGAGGCCTAATAGGTTTAGTTTAATAATTAAAACAAAGCCAAACTAATAAGATAGTTGAGAAGTTGAAATACGAGTTAGTATAAGCATATGTTACTCTAGATGAGCTGCAGACAGTCTGATAAGGTGGAAGAATGTGCCTTTATGGAGGGTTGGTTAAAAGAAAACCATGGATGAAGGAAAGCCAAAAGAGATTATAAGAGATTAATATTAATCATTAGAGGTTTTAATTGCCCTGTTCAGATGGGACTACAGAGCCTAAACAATAGACAATAAACATATATAATAAAATAAGAGTAAAATGCTGTAGAGGGTTTGCTTTGTTTTTTTTTTTTAAACATATAGCTAGAGTTACAATTGGATGCCTGTATGGTTGTTTTTTTTTTTTCAAAATACCAAGTGACACAGTGAAAGTTTAGCCCCACATCCAATGAAAGTGTCGGGAAAAAATTGATTAATTCTTACAAAGCATCTCACACTCGCCACAAAGCATTGATTCAATGTGACTGAACATGACCTTTTCTAATGCTTTTTAAGAGTTATAGTTGTGAAAGCTTTGAAAATCATGTATTTGGTCTAAAACATTATAAAATTCATTGAATCTCTAGCTGTGTCCTCACAAAATATCCAAAGGGTGTGATTACTTTTTAACACCACAATAAAGCAGACCATTTTTTCGATCTGTGGATTTAAAAAAATCCATTGTATCTTCAGAGAGGAACTTGTATGGTCCTAATGTCACATATCAGATGATGCTGAAGAGCTACTAGTGGCTGTCAGTGCAATTCATTATAAAGACTAATGGCCAAACTCCCATCTCAGTGCTACTGTCCTGGTTCTCTAGTCTTGCGTGTGGCACTCATGTGCTAGTAGAGACCTTTCTAATACTATGGTGAATGTAAAATGGAATCCTGTGAAAACAGAGACAAAAAAACAACTGAATTAAATAAAAATGAACAAACAAACTGAAAGAAAACATTTTTGAATACAACAAACTTCTTATTATGATTTTCATTTATTCTTGAGAAGCAGTGCAACAAAAGATACTTCATTTTAATTTGTTTAATTGAACTTTCTTAATCTCAAACTGGAGAAATTAACTCTCTGCATTTAACCCATCCCTATGGGGAGCAGTGGGCTGCCATTGTGCGGTGCCCTGGGAGCGGTGTGGGGTTAAGGGTCTTGCTTAGAGACCCAGAGTGGGATCCCGTGGATGTGGGGCCTGAACTCAGGACATCTGGAACCCAAGTGCAATGCTGTAACCACTAGGTCACCACTTCCCAAAATCGTGAAATTTTTATTTATTTATTTGTTTCTGTCTTCTGATGAGAAACTATAATAAAACTACAGTACAGGCCGGGTCTTTAAAAGAAGGGAATTATATCCAAAAAAAATATAAGAATAGCAATCGTAGAATAATCACATTATATAAAGCTCGTGTTGACATAAATAAAGACTAAACTAATTGGGTCAAGTATAAATGGAAAAAAAGAGCAGAACAAAAATACTGATGATATAGAGTGAATATTGAATAATGAATATTTAACAGAATGAATATAATATATAGAAATTCCCCAGACAACCACCAACTGATGGACTTGGAGGGAGTCTGTCCAAAAGAATGTTATAAGATTATATCATTATGCCAAAAATAACACCAAGAAGCTAAAAAGGCAGCAGGAATGTTGGAGACGATGCAGAGGTGTTGATGTAGACTATTTTCTGGAAATGGACCAAAATACATGTTTGTCTATGGAACAATCTGTAATGTCTTATGTAATGTCTTAGTGTTAGGGTTAGTTTTATTTGTACACATGATCATTTGAACCTATCGTGACATTTGGAGCTCAAACTACAAGTAATATACAGAAAGGAGTAAATATTCTCACTGGAGGGCCTGCTTGTATGAGCTTTATGTTAAAAAGGAAATTGGTTTGGAAGGGGTTACCAAATACTTTTTACTCTTAAGGCAAGGCAAGGCAAGGCAAGGCAAATTTATTTGTATAGCACAATTCAGTACAAAGACAATGCAAAGTGCTTTACATGATTAAAATACAGGAAGATAAAACAGAATCAAAGTAAGTAGGAAAAAAATAAGAAATAAAAAAATAAATAAATAAATAAAAGAAAATAAAAAATGCAGAAACAACAAAAGAATCTTAAAAACAGTTGGAAGTTTTTGTTAGATTACATTTATTTATTTGATTATTTTTTTTTTAAGTAACTAAAAATATGATACAATAGTTTTACTCCTTATCTGAGCATACAAAGTCCTACTGAAATGTTATATTTATGTAAAGTTTTAGAGGGAATTAATTATGAATGTGATAAATATCTGGTTAAAATAAAATTAGACACTCAGTCAAAAAAAACAATAGACTTTTTCAGATTGGACAAAAAACTGAAAGAAACTGATGATTTAAATGAAAGCTCCTTGAACCTCCCGTTAAAAGTGAGTTTTTCCTCTCCACTGTCGCTACAAGCATGCTGAGTTTAAGGGATTGCCTTCGAGTCCATGAGTCGATGCTATCAACTGGTTTTCCTTAGATAGAAAACTTTGAATCAATTTGACTGGATGATCTGGTGAACTGTAAAGTGCCTTGAGATGACGTGTGTAGTGAATCGGCGCTATGGAAATAAACTGAATTGAAGGATGTGAAAGATTATATTCTTTGGAAAATGTGCTGAATGTTTACATAGGTTGTGTATTGAAAATAAGCATGTAAAACTAAAAAAATAATCACTTTTAGAAACTTTTTTAAAGTTGGAGAGTATATGATAGATTGCTTTCAGTTGCATTTCGGTAGTTTGTTGTTTTTCCTTTATTGTTAGTTTGCTTTTCTGCCTCTTTATCTTAATATTTCTCCTGTCTGGTATCTCAGGATTCCCGAGGCAGCAGACTACAAGGATCACAAGATACAGGTAGCAAGCTGCCTGATCTCTCTGAAAGTGGAGCCTTTACCAGCTTTGTTGGTGAACCATTCGGGAGCACCGCTCATCAAGATTGTCCTCACCCATGTTCTGGTAAGAACCACCCAGAGTGAAAATTCCTTTTTCTGCTTTTCCTAGGAATGACTAATGCTGGGAAATGTGTCGTTCTCACTGCCGGGTGCTGCTGTTGTTGGTGGCGAGACACGCGCCTCATCAGATGCTTCATGGCTTGTCTATCGCAAAAACCTTTGGATGCCCTCATATGAAATCTATCAACTCTATTTCTGGCACTCTCTTATGTAAGAAGATGAGTGTCCATAACTGATTGAAGCTTGTGCAGCTGGCCCTGCCCAGTCGAAAAAAGAGCAGCTCGGATGTTGTTGTTTCTCATCCTGCTTGAATTCTTTTCTCCCTCGCAGAGCATGTGGCATCCAGAAAGCAAACTGATTATAGATATTTCAATTGTAAGCTTGGAGCGCTTTAAAGCAACAATGGCTCTTTTATGAAAAACATATCTCCCCTCCTTGCTTTACAAAGGGGGCCGCAGCTCTCCAAGTCACTCAAAGACATAACTGAACTGTTCTTGAGAAAATGTGTGGGGTGTTTATTTTGCGTCATGGTGTAGGCCAGCCAAGCGTTGAAACCGATATAGGAGTTATCGAAGCCAGTTGGTGAAAGCCTGTAACCGGTTTAAAAGTCCTAAAAGAATTAGTCCGTTTCATTGAAGTACATTACCGATACCCTAATAACCCCCCTCCTTACTCATAAAAGCAGGAAAGAAGCTCATGCTGTGTCATAAAATTGTACGAACGTTGCTTTGTTTGCCTTTTTTCGTCCCTTGGTGAAATAAATATTGATGCTGTAATTTTTTGGCCTGGTTCCTGTGCCAGTGATTCCTATTTGTTTTAACTAGCACCAATACTCACCCGTTCAGCTGTCTTCTCAGGCATTTCCATTTTAGTTGGACTACCTTCATAGTGAAAATAAATCTGCTTTGTGGAATTTTGCCTCACTGTACTCGATCATGAAATTGGCTTCATATGGGCCTCGTATGGACACATTCTGATTGAAAAACTCACTGCCAGCTCATTTCAATGTAACCATACCTCAGACCATCATTTAAGTTTAGGCGTTCTATTAGAATGTATCATGCAACCCTTGTGGCCAGGACCATGGCCAAAGATTGGCTCTTTTTCTGTAACTGGTTCGCTGTTCAAAGCTGTGGTCAGATTAAGTCAAGGAGAGACTATTTTTGGAGTTTTTATATTTTTTGGCTGTCAGTGGATACCTATCACCTTCCTGGCTTGGAAGCTGGGGGAATCTTATACAGAGCTTTGTGTACACTATGGGACAATAATACAAATCCCCTTTCCAGGAGAGTTGGAGTTTTGATAAAATCCAGCCAAAGTTCAAGTATATAAATGATTAAATTTGCTCTTTTGTACTTGTTTTTAACAATAACAAGTGCATGCATACAGAGACTGTGGAGCGTGCAGCTTTTCCACATACATGCATCAGAACTCTGGACTGAAAACTTTGGAAAACATACAACCAACTGTCTTCAATATTTTGAAGCTATTCATTAGAATTGCAGGGGATATCTAGCCTAGCCTGCTTATAAAAGGAGGTGCCTCCAAAGAAACTGGCTCTCTGAACAACAGTAACACTTAATTGTGTAGAAAAACTGAGAAAATGACCAGAAACTACTGTTGAACTTGATTAATTGTCTGCCATGAAATCACACTCTATCTATATCTATATCTATCTATCTATATTAATATTCTTCTGATATGATCCAAATTTTACTTTCGTTTTTCTGCTGTGGTATGTTATCCCAGAAAGAGTTCAGAACCCAGTTTCTGCAGCTCTTAACTATTACTCAAATTTGAGTCTTTGGGCTCTGAGGCAGCCCTCTATTTTTGCATGTGAACTTTTATATTTAATGTTAGCATTTTGTGTGTTAGGGGCATCATTTGTAACCTGACTCCGCCAGATGGATTTGCTCCGCATATCCATCTGGAAACCTTCCGTTGAAGTAATTTTGGGAAGAGGCGAAAATACTGGTTAGCTGATTGGCCTATGTTGGTGATAGACGGGCCAAATGAACCAATCAGATCAACGAAGCATATGACGTACTAACAGAGCGACGACGAAGAGGAGCCAATTGATAGATCAAACTCTTGCCGAAACCAGTCGGGAGAAGAGCAAAAACATCTTTTCCTCTGAGAAAAGCCTCCAGAGCAGTGTTTTGCTCTTCTTTCAGTGAAGAAATACTCTGTAATTCCGATAAAACTTGCTCGATATCCACGCTAACGCTAGTTTCATCGGCTGAAGCCGCCATGTTCTTTAGACTGAACTGTCGCGCTTCTCTTTGCGTCACACCTCAACCCGCCTCAAAGCCAACGCTGATTGGACGTTTGTTTGGTGAACGGCTCCAAATTTTCTTCAACGGAGAGTCTCCAGACTGATTAGCGAGTGAAATCTTGAAAGCTCGCAAGATCAGGATGGTCTCACGAGGCTACATCATTTGGAGATGACAGGAGTCTTAGGGGTACATAAAGGGAATACTGATAGAACAGTCCCCTGGGGTGCTACAGATAAATTTCAAAAAAATGAAAACAATCCACTGTTTGTTGTTTGAAGATGTTTCTCTTCCCATCCAGGAAGCTTTTCAATTGAAAATGTCAGGAATAGTGTTAAGTTCTAGGTTTTATGCAGTAGCCCAACAAAAACTTGTTTGTGTTTTAAAAACATGAAAATTGGAACAGAGGAAGGGGTCCACCCATTTGGAATGGGGGTCGTTTGGCTTCTTTCGTTAGACTGCAATACCCTATACCCTTCTAAGGCCCCGTCCACACGAAGTCAAAACGAACACGAAACGCTGATATTTTCCAAAACGTTTGTCATAAAGACGGAGACGTAAAATAAATGTGAGCGTCCACACGAATGCATGAAAACGCTGCAAAATGTATGCCAGGCCTGTAAGTGGCGCAGTGGTGCCAAAGCAAAAATAAGCGACGAAATGTTGGGCATGCGCACTAATATTTATACATGGTTGCCCTGCGGGTCCATTTTCGTGGTTAAGTCAAATTCAGGTGCTGAACTATGTGGTCGATATTGCTCCGTTCTTCCTGGAGATATTCCAGAAGAAGAAGATTCTGTTGTAAGCCCGACAGCAGGGTGAGTAGCATTAGCAGCAACGGCGCCATTGTTGTTGTGATACTGGTCGCGCATGCGTGTTTAGAGGCGACGCTATGACGCATGCGTGTAAAAAAAAAAATGCGGTTAGAGCGTAAAGATGGAAACGCGAAAACGGCGTTTCGAAATCTTCTCACTCTGAAGGCTGAATAAAAAAAAGATCGTTTACAGACCCCCGAAACGCCGGCTTCGTGTGGATGAGAGGCTGGTTTGGTGAAAAATTTGTGCGTTTAGGCCAGGGTTCGTCTTCGTGTGGACGGGGCCTAAGTGTCTGAAAGGGGGGGTCGTTAAAGGGGGTGGGGCTGCAATGATAATGGGAAGGGGTTAACTCAATTGCTTGATTGTAGGTTTTTGAAAGCTGGAACCCCTCTTTTTAAGGTTGTTTTCTCTTTCTTAACATAGATGGCTTCCTTCACATCCCTCTCAAACCACCTATTTTCTTTATCCAAAATGTGAACATTCTAGTCCTCAAAAAATGTCCTTTGTCCATAAGGTGTAGATGTACTGCAGAGTCTTGTCCAGAGGAGGTCGGTCTTTTGTGTTGGGCCATGCGTCTGTGGAGAGGTTGTTTGGTTTCTCCAATATAAAGATCAGAGAATTCCTCAGTGGACTGAACTGCATACACCACTCCGCTTATATTTTGTTTGGGGGGTTTGTCCTTAGGATGCATTTGGAAACCAAGTCCAGTGGATTGTTTTTATTTTTTGGAATGACAATGACCTGGATGACTGAGAACCTTCACCAGCATACGGATAAATAATATTTATTTCATTAGAGTGGAATTTATTCTTTAAACCTTTTTCTGTTTGGCATCATCAAAACAGAACTGATACCAGTCAAAGACAACTAATCAATTCAAAATGTAGTTTTTTAATGATACCAAGCTGGAATAAAAAGGTTATTAGGATTCTTTCTTTCAAGATTCAAGCATTTTGAGCATAAAGGCCTGTTTTAGATCAAGCCACAGCATCCCAATCAGATTTCAGTCTGCTGCATGACTTTAAAACATTCATTTGTTTGTTTTTAAGCCAATTTGTGGTATATCTTTGATTTGGATCATTGTCTTGCTGCGTAAACCAAGTGTGAGCCTTAGATCGAAAACTGATGGTTTGGTTTCTTCTTTAAGATTTTTTGAAAGAGAGTAAAAACATTGGCTCATTTATAATAGTTACAAATCTTGGTGGCAAAACAGCAAATCAGCATCACACCACCACCGCCATGTTTTATTAATTCTGTAATGCTTCCCTTTTTTCTACATTGCTTCACAGAAAATGTTTACATATTTTTTAGTTAAGCTCCTAAATAAATTCATCACACTTTCATATTTTGTGGATAATAACTCTCAGTTAGGTTCACTAGAGTCTGAAATCCTCAGCAGTGGCTTTATAACCCATTCCATACTGACGGTGTCAGGATCAGAATAAGAGGATCCAGTTTTCGAGACTGAGAGAGAGTTAGGTTTCACAAAATATTCACAAAACTGTAGAGAACGGCGTCGTTGTATAAACAGGAACCTCTGCAGGGAGAGAACACAGTTTATGAGGCTACCTGGTGGAGGATGATAATGAACGTGTGAGACACTACCCTGGTCTTAAAGTTAAGTCAGTGCCCAGAGGATGTGGTTTTGTTCCAGCAAGTCGGCTGCTAACAAGACGCAGCGTGAGCTGCCCAGAGAATCCCAGACGCTGAAGTCCCAGAGGTCTGAAAATAGGAAGGAGATCAGAACTGAGCAGAGGAAGGAAGGCAGGATAATCCAAAGGGTGAAACCAAAGCCGATGTCAAGGATGTGCTAAGGATTCAGAGTCAGGAGATCAGAGATCTGAAGAGGTACCGAAGGGAAATTAAGAACGGTATCAAGAATCACTTCCAGGTTTGGTACACAGGCAGCATGCAGC